CATCTTCATCACTCCGCATACGTTCAGTTGATGTCCCTGCAATGTTCCTGGTCCTGGGTATGGAAGGTCAGATGACCCAAAAGGACAAGCCTGATACCTTCATGGGGTTTACAGCCTTCTGGGGAGGGGGGCAGGTAGAGCTGGGAGCAGGCCTAGAAGAGCACACAGCCCCTTGTTGACAAAGAAGAAGGGAATTCAGTGCCTATTGAATAGACTTTCTGACCCAAAAGTAAGTGACACATATGCACGTGTTTGTTCATTTTCATGCCTTGTTCCTTAACCACCCTTTGATGTAGATGTATAGAGTGGACTTAAACCTTTTCTTCAAGGGGAGAGGACAATCCAGGACCCCCAGACCTTACGTTTAGGGGATCCCATCACTGTGCACAGATGGGGTGGGGGCAGCCAGAGTCCCCCTCCGACTTGAGCTGCCTGGTGGGTAATTCTCTCCTCTGAGAATTCAAGGGAGAGCCTCAGAGAAAGAACTAGTTGAGAATCTAGTGAACCTAAATTTGAGTCCAGATCCAGTTACACAGAACCATTTTGTCTTAAATTCATTTGCTTTGTATAAGTTAAATAGTTGTATAAATTAGTGATTTTATGAGCCATAGCTTATTTGAGTCCACCTCCTATTGTGTACTGTAGTCACATGAGTCTGACTTTGAGAAAACTCTGTTCCGTGAAGGCGAGAGCAAAATATTCAAGGAGAAAAGCCACAGATACTTAGCACCTGGTAGTGGTGGTTTAGTCGCTAAGTCATGTCTGACTCTCACAATCCTGTGGACTGTAGCCTGCCAGGCTCCTCTGTCCATGGGAGTCTCTAGGCAAGAACACTGGAAGGGGTTGTCATTTCCTTCTCCAGGGGACATTCCCGACCCAGGAATTGAACCCTGGTCTCTTGCATTGCAGGCAGATGATTTACCAACTGAGCTATACCTAGTATGTGCTAAATAAGTATGGCCTGGGGATATACTGTTGACCCAAACAGAGAGTACCCCTGTCCTCATGGAATCTATATTCCGGTAGAGAACGAAACAGAACCAAATACATCGTAGGCTGGTGGCACTAAGTGCTGAGAAGAAAAATGAAGCAAGGGAGAAAGGAGAGAGTGCAGTGGTATGTGGATGGATGTATATGTGTCCATATTTTATTTAGAATTTGTCAGGGAGACCCCTTGGAAGAAGTGACAACTTCCCTGGTGGCTCAGATGGTGAAGAATCTGTCTGCAATGTGGGAGACCTGGGTTTGATCCCTGGGTTGGGAAGATCGCCTGGAGAAGGGAATGGCTACCCACTCCAGTGTTCTGGCCTGGAGAATTCCACGGACAGAGGAGCCTGGTGGGCTACAGTCCATGGGATCACAGAGACTGACATGACTTAACAACTGACATACACACTTATGGGGATTGAGAGAACAAACCCTTCATTTGAGAGGTGAAAGTCATTTCAAAGGACAGAAGAGGCCTTGCCAAGATCCCGAGGCCAGAGCATGGTCATTGCATTCGAGGAACTGAAAAGCAACCACAGTGGCTGGAATAGAATGAGCAGGGGAGAGAATGGCAGTGCATGAGGTGTCCAGAAAAATAACAGGGGGTCTGGTGAGTCTGAGACAGTGGATGGATTTTATTCTGAGAGACTCAGTCTGACCTGACTTCGTACGGGGATCACACCAGCTGCCTAGTTGAGCGAACAGCAGTGGCTGGGTGAGGAGGTCAGTTACAGTCACTGGTCACCCAGGAGTTCCACAGTGGTGGTTAGTGGTTGGGTCTTGGGCGTATTTCGAAGGTAGATCTGGCCGGATTTGCTGAGGAACTAGATATTAAGGGAGAGAGAAAGAGGAGTTGAGGATGACTTCTCGGGTTTAGCCTGAGCGGCTGGCAAAATGTAGTCGCCAGTTTTGAGAAGGGGCAGACCAAGGGGTGAGTGCGTGGAAAAGAACATTGTCCCGGAATTTTACGTATGTCCTTTGGTCCTTACAAGAGCTTCGTTTGAAAGGATGTGCATCTCTGAAAGTATAGGTAAATATGATCATTGCCTGATAATTTTGAGATTGTCTGGGTCTGTGAAGTTGGCCACAGTGTCCCATCCCAGCAGGGGACTCTGGTCCTACAGTGTGTGGGTGGATTCCAGGTTCGCATCGTAAGTCTCCTGGTGGGCAGGTTTCTGCCAGTGGTCACTGTTCAGTCCAGCCCATGTGTTCCTGACTCTCAGCAGGATGCTGTGCCGCATTACTGAGTGTAATTCCTGGGACCGCCCACCCACCAGGTTACCCCTCCCCCCAGCCAGCTCCTCCCTCCCGCTGCCTCCCACCCTCAATATCAAGGCGAGTCCTCTTATCCACCACTTGCTTTCTCCTGTTTGAGCCTGGAGGCGGGGGTGCTGGGACCCTGCCTCTGGGTCTCCACTCTTTGGTGCCCAGGGACCCTGCCACCTCTCTCTTGGTCAATGAGGAGCAACATGTGCAGACGCTCCAAGTGGACACCCTTGACCCAGTCCTTCGGCGGCATTTTCTCTGAGAGTGATGGTCTTTGCAGGCATCGAGACACAGCAGTGTTTGAGGAAAGTTGCTGTGGGGGGAACAAAAGCTCCTGTGTTCTTGAGTTTGCCCTCCAGAGAGGTTCTTGTCAACTCGGGTGGGTGGACACAGAAAAGGTTTTCCCAAGAGTGGGAAGCCAAATGCAATTCTCCTCCCCCGCTGGACCTTTTCTGTTCACGTGTCCTGCTCGTGAGCCAAGTGCGCGCAGTGTGTGCCCAGAGTGTGTGCTGTGGGTGCATCCTTAGCCCCTTGCTGTATCCCCCAGGCTGACTTGTCTAAAAAGTGCCATTTATCACAGAGCTGGGACGAGGAAGAGTCACTGAATTCAATATAGAGCGTCAGTAGTTCTAACTAGAAACCTCACGTTTGAATTGGTTCCTGTTATTCCATTAAACCGACCTTTAACATTTGCTTCAGGCTTCCCTGATAGCTCAGTCGGTAAAGAATCAGCCTGCAATGCAGGAGACCCCGGTTCGATTTCTGAGTCGGGAAGATCCGCTGGGACAGGGATAGGCCACCCACTCCAGTATTCTTGGGCTTCTCTGGTGGCTCAGCTGGTGAAGAACCCACCTGCAGTGCGGGAGACCTGGGTTCAATTTAGAGGTCTGGGAACCCTAAGTAATAGAAGACGCTAGACAGTACTTGGTGGGAAAGCTGTTGGGGCGGGGGGGGGGGGAATGTATTTGCCGAAACATGGTACTAAATAAAAGAGTCATAAATGTATCTAACAGCCTAGAAGTACACCACCCTGTCTGGAATCCACTAACCACAAGTGACTGCTCCGGCTTAAATGAAATCTGATTAAAGACACAGTCACACTGGCCATCTTCAAGTGCTCAGTGCCATACAAGACTCAGGGCTACTGGACCATCGCCCTCATGAGAGAATGTTGTACTGGGCAGTGCTGGCCTACACTGTAAAACACGGACCACCTATAATAGCACCATACATTTCACTCACTGTCTGAATCTGCCTGAGAGTAGGAAGGGGTTGAGAGGCTTGAAGAAAATCTCCACACTTGTAGAATGATGTGACCTTGTAAAATGGTGCAAATGCTTAGTGAGGACTGGTTTTTTTCGCCCTTCGGTTTGGACATTTATTTCTCTGGTAACCCTGACTGAGGACAATAACAAGTTGCCCATGTAGGTACTGTGCTCACTTCTTTGCAAGACTCTTCAAGAGAAGTATAGTCCATCTTAGTAAAAAGGCAATGGAATAGTTTAAACCCATGATGTCATAGGATGTCGGAAGGGAAGCAGCCGCAGAGGTGAAGGGCATCTTTAAAATCATGGGGCGGGGGGGGGGGGGGGGGCTCAGTCGTGTCCAACTCTTTGCAACCCCATAGACTGTAGCCCGCCAGCTCCTCTGTCCATAGACTTCTCCAGGCATGAATACTGGAGTGGGTTACCATGCCCTTCTCCAGGGGATTTTCTTGACCCAGGGATTGAACCCCCAGTCTCCTGCAGGCAGAATCTTTACCAACTGAGCCACCACGGAAGCCCTTTAAAATCTTATGTAGTTTTATTCAACTTTCATTAAAAGCTAACCAGACGGAGGGATCTTTTCTCAACAGACTGTGGATTACCAACATGTTATCACCTTATTTATCAGTGATGTTTAACCAGTCAGTTGTTTTCTTTTCTGGTATGAAGAGCAGGCAAAGGGTGGTGGTTGTGCTTTGGCTGAGGCTGGGCCTGCTGGATAAATATTGACTGGGCTGTCTGGGCCTGGGAGAGCAGAACTGGGCTGAGGGTGCTGGGGAACGGGGTGCATTCCCCTCATAGCCGAGCTGCTTCACGATGCTGCTGCCCCTCTGGAGGGGACCCTGCGGAGGAGGTGATTCCAGGTCACCTGATGGAGGGCATCTGTGCTTTCCAAGATGGGACCGTTAAGGAAGTGGGACCCCCCACTCCCTGGGGTGTTCAGTTCTATGCCTCAGGTGACCCCAGCGTCCCTGGCAGAACTCCAGGTGTGAGGCCACCCACCCACGGAGATTTCTGGGAGCAGCTCAAGTGACACAAGGGGAACAGTCAATAAATACAACCTGAAATGTAGTAGTATCAGTGATGAAAGTGTCTCACTTTGCAACTTACCAAGCACGTGTGTTGAATGAGCCTGGGGCGGGGGTGGGGATTCTGTAGTGACGCACAGTGATGGTGGAGTCTGGAGGAGGCAGGAACAAGGATTGACCAGGCTAGCCTGGGAATGTTCTCGGGCCAGAGGGAGGGGACTAGTGGCCTGCTGACCACACGGCAGAGAGGGCTGTAGGACATTCGATTTGCCAGGATGGCCTCTTTGTTACCTGAATCTCCTAATCACTCTCGAGTCAGCAAAGCTTTTGGTCATGGCTGGGTTTCCAGGCATCTTTTAGACCATGAGAGAATATGTGATGATCCCTCAAGATACGCTGGTCTGGTTGGCCTTTATTCTTTCCAAAGTCAGTCGGTGTATTTAAGGGTGGTGGTTGTGCTTTGGCTGAGGCTGGGCCTGCTGGATAAATATTGACTGGGCTGTCTGGGCCTGGGAGAGCAGAACTGGGCTGAGGGTGCTGGGGAACGGGGTGCATTCCCCTCATAGCCGAGCTGCTTCACGATGCTGCTGCCCCAGGGCCTGGAGGGGACCCTGCAGAGGAGGTGATTCCAGGTCACCTGATGGAGGGCATCTGTGCTTTCCAAGATGGGACCGTTAAGGAAGTGGGACCCCCCACTCCCTGGGGTGTTCAGTTCTATGCCTCAGGTGACCCCAGCGTCCCTGGCAGAACTCCAGGTGTGAGGCCACCCACCCACGGAGATTTCTGGGAGCAGCTCAAGTGACACAAGGGGAACAGTCAATAAATACAACCTGAAATGTAGAAGTATCAGTGATGAAAGGGTCTCACTTTGCAACTTACCAAGCACGTGTGTTGAATGAGCCTGGGGCGGGGGTGGGGATTCTGTAGTGACGCACAGTGATGGTGGAGTCTGGAGGAGGCAGGAACAAGGATTGACCAGGCTAGCCTGGGAATGTTCTCGGGCCAGAGGGAGGGGACTAGTGGCCTGCTGACCACACGGCAGAGAGGGCTGTAGGACATTCGATTTGCCAGGATGGCCTCTTTGTTACCTGAATCTCCTAATCACTCTCGAGTCAGCAAAGCTTTTGATCATGGCTGGGTTTCCAGGCATCTTTTAGACCATGAGAGAATATGTGATGATCCCTCAAGATACGCTGGTCTGGTTGGCCTTTATTCTTTCCAAAGTCAGTCGGTGTATTTATACGTGGCGAAACCCATCTTGCGAAATTTCTGTAGGCTCGAACCATCTCCCCCGGGTTGGATCCATCTCAGCATGCTGATCATTTTTCCTTTCTGAAAGGACGGGATAAGCACACATGTTGACCAGCATCATTTTGGCCCCAGGGTTGTCTTGCTAAACTCTCACGTGACCCTCAGCCTCCTCCTCGAGGGCTGGGAGAGCGCAGCTGTGTGATGCCCACGTGATGCGTGTCACGCGCACCAGGGAAGTGACGCGCTTCCAAAGCGCCGGACTTGGAGCGCGAATTCCTCGATGGCTTGAAAGAGTCAACCATCACTTATCACACGTCCAGCAAATATTGATAAATATTAGTAGAATACTTTTATGAACTGTATACTCAACTGCCATGCAGTTGAGTTGTTCTAGATGTTATTTTTAAAGCAAGCTTGCTTGCGAGGCAAATTGAGAGAGTAGCATTGACATATACACACCACCGTGTGTGAAATGGTCAGCTCTCGGCAAGCTGCTGTATCACACAGGGAGCTCAGCTCAGTCTTTGTGATGACCTTGGGGGTGGGGGTGGGGTGGGAGGGAGCCTAAGAGGGAGGGGTACGTGTATACTCATAGCTGATTCATATTGTGGTACAGCAGAAACGAACACAACGCTGTAAAACAATTACACTCCAATTTTTTTTTTAATTTAATGTTGAGCATTGAAAGAAAATCACACACCCCACAAATCTAAACACACACACACACACGAACTCACAGGGAAAAGGTAATACCTTCATTGCTTGCTTCTTTGTGTGATTACAGAAGAAGGTCATAATTAAATAGCTACAAACCTGGCCCTTGGCATGAAGGTGAATCCTTGGAATTACCTTGGGGGAGAGTGTGTTCACAGGTTAGTACCAGAGGCTGTTTTGAGATTGAGGGGTTCCCCCCACTGCCTTATTTCTTCTTGTTGTTTTGGCAGCAGTGAAAAGCATTTCGTTCTTTCCCCACATTTTGCATCTACTAATGGTTTTTGTTTTGGAAGTTCTCTTCTCTTCATCTGAGGCTGTCTCTTTGTTTAAATGAGTAGAATCAATGTCTTGGGTTCTTGCCTGGTATTAACTGGTATTCTTTCTTTCTTTCTTTTTTTTTTTTTTTTACTGGTACTCTTTCAAAGTACTTTCAAAGCCCTTGTGAGTGGTTCTTTAAGTGGTAAGTCATACATAAGGCAGGGATCATAAATCGAGTTTGATTCCATTGCTGAGTCTAGTTGGTCCACAGCAGCCGCTGGAGCGGCCTGTAGAAAGACAGTGGGCAGCTCCGTGATGAGCAGTGGCCTTGCTGGCCGTGAGAGGAACCCAGGGGCAGTAGACACGACCAGGTTTGCTGACCGCACTGCCTGGGGAGTGGCAGCCATTTAGATTTATGGAGGTTTGCAGGATCATTACCTCTCTGTCTCACCTGGTCTGCTTATGAACTCCAGATTTGTCCATATGATGGCCTTTGAAAGCTCTGATGCTCTTTAGATAAACCTCACCTCCCAGCTCACCTTCTCTGCCCCTGCATCATGCTGGCAGGTGAGTTAGCTCAGGAACCCTATTTGACTTGTTGATCTTGTTCAGCAAAGCATCAAGGCCTTAAAGAAAGGTGTAGGGATAAAGAGACATTGAGAATTTTTTTTTTCTTTTTTTTTCACCCAGTCCAAACACATGTTCCATAAGCAAAGGTCAGTTCGGATTTGTTAACATCCATATTAATCAGGACATCTTGCTCAACAAATGCTAAAGCACTTTGTGTTGTAATGAATGAGATATGGGTATGTGGGTTGTTCTAGGAGCCTTTTCTAGCCTTATTTCTTCTTGTTGTTTTGGCAGCAGTGAAAAGCATTTCGTTCTTTCCCCACATTTTGCATCTACTAATGGTTTTTGTTTTGGAAGTTCTCTTCTCTTCATCTGAGGCTGTCTCTTTGTTTAAATGAGTAGAATCAATGTCTTGGGTTCTTGCCTGGTATTAACTGGTATTCTTTCTTTCTTTCTTTTTTTTTTTTTTTTACTGGTACTCTTTCAAAGTACTTTCAAAGCCCTTGTGAGTGGTTCTTTAAGTGGTAAGTCATACATAAGGCAGGGATCATAAATCGAGTTTGATTCCATTGCTGAGTCTAGTTGGTCCACAGCAGCCGCTGGAGCGGCCTGTAGAAAGACAGTGGGCAGCTCCGTGATGAGCAGTGGCCTTGCTGGCCGTGAGAGGAACCCAGGGGCAGTAGACACGACCAGGTTTGCTGACCGCACTGCCTGGGGAGTGGCAGCCATTTAGATTTATGGAGGTTTGCAGGATCATTACCTCTCTGTCTCACCTGGTCTGCTTATGAACTCCAGATTTGTCCATATGATGGCCTTTGAAAGCTCTGATGCTCTTTAGATAAACCTCACCTCCCAGCTCACCTTCTCTGCCCCTGCATCATGCTGGCAGGTGAGTTAGCTCAGGAACCCTATTTGACTTGTTGATCTTGTTCAGCAAAGCATCAAGGCCTTAAAGAAAGGTGTAGGGATAAAGAGACATTGAGAATTTTTTTTTTCTTTTTTTTTTACCCAGTCCAAACACATGTTCCATAAGCAAAGGTCAGTTCGGATTTGGTAACATCCATATTAATCAGGACATCTTGCTTAACAAATGCTAAAGCACTTTGTGTTGTAATGAATGAGATATGGGTATGTGGGTTGTTCTAGGAGCCTTTTCTCCCCACCCTAAAAATTTTTTTTTTCTTTTTGCATTTTATTTATTTATTTATGGCCGCACTGGTTCTTTGTTGCTGTGCTTGAGGGCTTTCTCGAGTTGCAGCAAGCAGGGGCTGCTTTCTAGTTGCGGTGTTAAAATCAGACTTCCTGTTGCAGTGGCTTTTCTTGTTGCGGAGCGCGGGGCCCTAGGCGTGGGGGTTTCAGTAGTTGTGGCTCATGGGCTTAATTGCCCCGTGGCGTGTGGGATCTTCCCGGAATGGGGATCAAACTTGTGTCCTCTGTATTGGCAGGCAGATTCCACCAGGCCACCAGGAAAGTCCCTCTTCTGCATTCTTTTATACAAGATTAAAGGGAAATCATTGCAGCACTCAGAGTCCAAGAAGAGTCCTGAGCGTGTGTGACCCTAGGCAACTACTAAACCTCTTGCCCAGGGCTTGTGTACATGAACTGCACAGTAGACTTGCCTGGCAAGCTTTTTAAAGAAAGTACTGATGCCTGGGTCCCACAGTCTTTGGAGGTGGGACCCAGGCATCATTACACTTAAAAAAAGCTCCCGCATGGGGACCTAATGCACATATTGCTTTGAGAACAGTTATTCCAGCAGATCTGGGTCTTTGACCACCACTCCTATAAAAACGCTCATTGTCACCTGCAGAGAGGACCCTCCAAAATTTGATCCATCTACTTCTCCAGCCTCCTTCCCCATCACTCCCTCGGCCCCCCGGGCACAGGCCCGTTCTCAGCTTTCTCCTCTTGTATTCTCCCTGTTCTTTCTGCCTTGATTGCGGTTTCTCCGGTCTCTTCCCATTCCAGCTCTCTGCACAAAATCGCTTCCCCCTAAGAACCTGATTTAGTGTTCCATCCCTTGTGAAAACCCCCCTCCCTCCCCGAGACAGACTTGGCCCCCTGGTCCTATGTTTCCATGGCTGTTGGAAGATAGGGACCACCCTTCACGTGCAGCCTTCACGCCCGGCTCAACGGATCCAGACAGCATTTGCCAGTGGCTGAGTGGACTGGCGATGCTCGCTGCCTTTCCTTCTGAGCCCGGCTAAAGTGCTTGTAAAGGGCAAAGTGTTTTACACACACCAAGTGGTTTACGGTTGTTGTTGGTTTTGATCATTAAATGGCAGCACATGGGTATTCATATGCCACCATTCTGTAGACTCTGCTCCTCTTTCAGCCAGGATGTGGGATATTTTGTGTTATTTATTGTTTAGAAGGCATCCGCTTGCCCTCTAGGTAGATAGGGCAGCAACCCCCTCCCCCCCACACCCAGTCTCTGCAAAATCCTGTTCGGCTGATCAATAGGAGCTAATTAGGTGATGTGTTTGCCTTGGGCAGCATCTCCATAATTCCAAAACCTTGTGCAAATAGCCGAGCTGCCCCATGAACTTTTATTATGTAGACTTAACGCCTCTCAAAGCCATCTGTGAGCCTGGTCCTGTGAAGCAATTATGCTGCAGGTGTGCGATAGAAATGAAGTAATGGCTTAATTATTTGGTGAAGCAGCAGGCGTTTTGGACTGAAGACTGACTGCACCAACTTCCCAAGGTTCTCTTCATGCTATTTTGTTCCTTGGAATCTTAACTCAACTTAGAGAATTATTGGGACTGCCGCCAGCTGTCTGTACAATAATCTTAAGAAGTCAGCTTGTTCCGTATTGAAATCATGAGAAGGTCGACCTGATTCTCCTGTATGACGGCTGTGGGGGAGGGGATACAGGCGGGGATGTGTATTTGTGAATTGCCTGAAATGTAAGCAAAATTTGGGTATATATGTATATTTGGGGGGAAGGAGGCCTCTCTCTCTCATCAGATTCTCAAAAGGGTCCTGTGGAGCCTCCACCTCCATGTCTGCAAAAGAAATGAGAGGATTAAACATTGATTCATGTCTCTTTGAAGTCGTCAGTTGTGTCTGGGAGTTAAAGATAGATCTTGAACGAGTTCCTTGTCTTTTTTCTACGACATAGAAGTAGATCTCTGTCAGAAGCCTGCTTCTTTCTAAATTATCCATTTCCCTGTATCTTGTGTTCCATCCCTAGTGGCTTAGATGGTGAAGAATCTGCCTGCAATGCAGGCGACCTGGGTTGGGAAGATCCCCTGGAGAAGGGAATGGCAACCCACTCCAGTATTCTTGCCCGGAGAATCCCATGGATGGAGGAGCCTGGTGGGCTACAGTCCAGAGGGCTGACACAACTGAGTGACTCACATACACACACAGGTATTTCATGGGGGTCCTGTGTGCCATCGTCCTGTTGAGCATTTCTGGTGAGATAAGGCAGAGGGGTGGAAAATGAAATGAACCCAATGCAGGCTGTTAAAAAAGATGGGTGATCCAGGATTTGCTTGCAAATAAGACTGTGATGGGAATGCCCCACAGCCCCAAAGCTGAATTACACAGTGGCCCTAGGTGTACGCCACCTTTTTTGAGCACTTGTCATATACCAGGCACCTTGTACTTAGTTTAGCTTCTAGCTTTTGCTTTAACTTCTATACCAGCATTTTGAAAGATGCTTGGTTATCCTCATTTTACCAAAGACAAGGGGAGATTCTGTGGTCATACTTAAACCTTATGCTTTAAAGGGCCTGACCTGGGGCGGTCCTCTGCCTGAACAAAGATGGGGCTCAGGAAGTATTTGTCAGATTTACCTCACTCACCTAGAAAACCCGAGTCCTAAAGCAGTAGATACAGTCTCTCATGGACCTGCATTTTGTTTTTCATTTTGTACCATCAGCTGGTTTGAAAGGTTCGGTCT